AACTGAAACCCTACCACTAACACAATTGCTCCTCTTGCTCAAGTGTTATTTCCCTTTAAACATGCAAACTCCTAGGGAGAGGAGCCCTGTTGGCCTCCCTGCTTATGGTTAGTTAGTAAGAGTCAGCTTGTGGGGCAGGCTCTTTTGTGAGAAGAGCTTTTGATGAGAACCTCTGAGCCTCTTACTGGTGTCTAATAACTAGGGACTGGGACTTTGGAAGGTGGTTGTATCTTATTTATATCTGAGATATACATCTAGAAGGTGGTTGTATCTCCTTTATACCTGAGATACGCATCTGGAAGGTGGTTGTATCTCCTTTATACCTGAGATACACATCTGGAAGGTGGTTGTATCTCCTTTATACCTGAGATACGCATCTGGAAGGTGGTTGTATCTCCTTTATATCTGAGATACGCATCTGGAAGGTGGTTGTATCTCCTTTATATCTGAGATACACATCTGGAAGGTGGTTGTATCTTCTTTATACCTGAGATACGCATCTGGAAGGTGGTTGTATTTCGTTTATATCTGAGATACACATCTAGAAGGTGGTTGTATCTCCTTTATATCTGAGACACGCAGCTGGAAGAAACTTCACATAACTGTTTCTCACCATGGGTTCTCATATGAATAAACTTTAAGTTGCCTTTCAGTTTCCAGGAAAACTGTTAAACGTAACCGTAAGTGGCAATATTTAGGGTAGGCAGGAGAATCAAGGTGGAGGAATCATGGCTAACATCCAGGCTTAACATAAGGTCCAAATAAAGGAAGTACTACACGATGAACAGTAGAAATTCTGAGCTTAGGAGGTTCCAGGTTTGGAGGAGGGTGTGCCTGGGAAGTTATTTATGGTTTGGATGGTAGAAATCCCAGTGAAAGTGTCAGTCCTTCCATGGTATGAGGGATGCAGAGGTTGGAACTGATTTGAGCTCACTCAGAAGGAATATATGTATATAGCATCTGGATGCATCCAGCTGCTCATTCATTTTCCTCCAATGCCCCTTGAATTTGGAACTTTTTAATACCTTTCCATTTCTCCAAGTGCGGTGTAATACAGTTTTCATAGCCCAGTGTAAGGTACTAAACAGCTGAGATGTAAATTCCAGCTCTACAGTATAGCTGCATGGTGGTGAGCACCACGCCTCACCTCTCCACGCCTCCCTTTCCTCACCTGAGAATTGGAGATACTAGAATCTCCAACTTTTGTGGCCAGTTTTGGCAACCACATTACTTAAGACATTGGCGATAGAGCTTGGCATATGGAAAACACTGGGTAGTTACCTACTTCTATTATTTCCCTATTGATAAAGGGCACTGTCGCTAGAGACAGATCCTGAGCATATGACTTTCTTGGTTAATAGATGTAAAGACAGATTGCCCCCCTTTTTGTAGTGAGAACCCTTGGGATTGTAGACCCATGGCAGTGTTCTGTGCCTGGATGCCAAGGACCAGGTTCTACCCTTTCCTCCCTAGCTGGGGCAGCAGAGCACCAGGTTGAGACCAACTTCAAGGGCATTGAAGATTCCCTTGAGTTTAGGACTTTTGTCTATGAAGCTTAAAGACAACATGCACAGGCATGCCTGCTTCCTTATGCAACTCTGAGCCCTCCTCATCCCCACCTCCTCCTTTCCCCTAAACAGCTACTGAGCACTGGCTTGGAATTAAATGTGACAGTGGTGCCTGCTGGTGCATATGGTTATAAGTGGCACACTGGAGGAGAGGGGACACATCTCAATGGTCTGGGTTCAAGAACCAAGTAAAGTCTCTAGCTCGCTACTTTTTGAAGGTCTGGCACAGAGAAAATCGGTGGCTTCTCCTTCCAGGGTGGCCTGCATTCGGAGGGCATGGGGTGTGTATGAGGTCAGACGAAGCAGGGTGGCTGGTGTATTCTGGCACCAGACAGTGCACCTCAGACTCTGGGCTCAGAACCACGCTGAGGCCAGTCCTAGATCCTCACTACTTGAGTCATTTTAGACCTTCCCTCAACTGTGCACAGCACACGAGCCTTTTCAAATCCCTGGATGTCATTCTGCCTGTAAGACGGAGAGATGGGCATGGGGGTAGAGGGTTTAGGGCTATATCTCTGCTATTGGGTCAGACCCTCACGCTTAAAATACTCCTTGACCATTTGATACTAGTAATTAGAGTAATTTGAGATGAGACGATGAGGGGGAAATGCAGAATATGTTTTTTTTTTTTCTCCTTCCCATCTCTCCTGAACGATAGAATGAATCCTGTTTACAGAGTACATCGGTATCCTGAGGGGTTGGTTGCTGTCATATCGAATCATTCTCCCGGCCCCAGCAACCTATCTGGAGCAGAGAACAGAACAAAGAAATAGCAGGAACTTAGGTCTATGAGGCAGTCTGGTTATTTTAGTCAAAAACTTATATGAATTTAGAGTTTCTGTGCTCCAAGATGGCAACAGATCTGACTCTCCCCAGAGAATTATTTTTATAGTTATACCAATAATAATCAGGGGTTTTGGACACTGATTAGCAACCTCTCATAAAAGCAGCTCCCTCCAACGTGTTGTGACTGTGGCTAGGAGCCTCAGCCTGCCACTCTGTCAGTCAGTGGGAACCAAAGCCAAAAATCTAGGTCCAGATAGGTGATTTTTTTTTCTAGGACCCTCATAAAACCTAGCCATTTGCTCATGGAAGCGTGTTTTAACTATATCCACTGGCCTTTCAAAATCCCCCAATTCCCAGACATAATTAATTCCCTAATATGTACAAGCTCCCATTCAACAATGATATTATCTAGATAACATTGGGAATTGGTTTTTAGATAAATTCTGCATTTTCCCCCTAGAAGAGACAAAATGTTATTATTATTATTATTATTATTATTATTAAGCCCCAATTTCAACCATCTCCAATTTTTCCCTTGCAGACATCTACTGTGGCAGTATCTTGGCACCTGTTGGGTGCAAGTTTCCCTTCCAGTGCCCCCAGCTGTCTGAAGGAAGCATGATGAGGTAGTTATATTTTCAGCCAGACTACCCAGGCAAGAATGCTAGCTGGTAGCCATGGGCAGGTTACTTTTCTTTGCCTCAGTATCCACATCTGTAGAATAAAGACAGCCATGACATCTACTTGATCAGATTGTTGTAATATTGATCAATAAATGTCAGACATTTAATTCACTACCTCACATAGAGTAAGAACTTTGGATGTTAGGTAATGTCTTGTCCCATTCATGGTACCTCTAAGCCCTACTCCCAGAGAGATGAGGAACTTATCATCCTGTTGGGCAAAGTAAATATGACTTTTCCTTTCTACACTGTGATTGACCTGACAGGCAGAGTATATGTTGAGAGAAGAGGGGCCATGCCACCTGGGTGCTGAAGGAGGGGGTATCTCTGCTCCACCATCATCGTCTTACTCATTCAGAAGAATTTACTGAGCATCATAATGGACCAGATCTGCTGTAGGCCCTGATTATATAACAATCAACAAGACAAAGCAGGACTTTTCACTCTTGAGCTTGTATCATCAAGATACCACAAGTCCAGTGGTCTATGAGAATTTCTCATCAATTGAATCTCTTTCAGTACAACACATTCAGAATGATGATTCTTAAATCTCTTAATAGCCATAAGATACTGAAGTGACCTGTGACCCACCAGAGAGAGAGAGAGAGAGAGAGAGAGAGAGAGAGAGAGAGAGAGAGCATGGCAGCCACCATAGTTCTGATGGTGTGCAGACTCCACTGTATTTGAACACTATTTTGAAAGAGGTGAATCCACATAACAATAAGCCACAGTCTCCTTAAGTATTTAAGTTAAATGACTGAGACCCCAAACTCTTATTTTATTTGTCTTTACTTTTTGTTGTTGTTTTTAGATAATGTCCCATGTATCCCAGGTGGGCCTTGAACTCACTGTCTTTGAACTTCTGATCCTTGCACCTCTGTCTCCTGAGTGCTGGGAATACAAGCATGATGCTCCACCTAGCGTATGCCACGCAGTGGGGATCAAACCCAGGGCCCTGCGCATCCAAGCATGCATCCAACCGGCCGAGCTCCAGCCCTTCAGACCCTTCAAAGAAGACGGCTCAGTTGTAGTGTTGGCTTTCATTTAGTTTTCTATGTTTCAGTGTGTCTTTTCTAAGTCTCTGGATTGTAAGCTTCTTTGGGAAGTAATCTTTGCAAAGAATTCACCCATCAGGAGATCTCCTTCTGGCAACTACTCATCCAACTACAGTTATCAATGGCTAATGCATGATGATGCATGTCCCACTGACGATGGCTAATGCATGATGCATGTCCCGCTGATGATGCTACCTGACCATCTGTCAGGAAGGAGGGACTGGTCAGGGTGAAGGGAGGAACCATCTCTGTTACTTGAGTTCTGCCCAAACCTTCCCTGGACGCTGATTTGGGGACTGTTCTCTGATGCTCAAAGGGAAGTATTCAAGGGAATCTGGCCCCACCCCCCAGAGTCTCTCAGCTTTTCTGAAATGGACCCAAGGGATGGAGCGCCCTAGAGATCTTTCTCGTACTAATACTTCCAGGGTTCTTGGACTGTATGTAACGTGGGAGAGTTTGAGAGTGGTTCCTGTTTGGGTCTGATGGAAGCCATTTGCTAAAAAGAAGAAAAAAAAAAAGCCAGGAATCTCATTGTTTTGATGCAGGTTTATACACACATACACACACACACACACACACACACACCATGTATATACATGCATCATGTGTACCTATGTATCAACATACACATGAATGCATTCTGAGGGCAGCATACCTGTCTGCCCTAACCTCTGGTACACACACACACACACACACACACACACACACACACACACACACACACACCACGAGTACCCATGTATCAATACACACATGACACATGCTGAGGGCAGCACACCTCTCCGCCCTAGCGTCTGGACTTTCAAAGAAGAAATGCAAACACTGAACTCTCACGAAGAGAAGATACAGAACAAGAGCAGCGGCTGTCACCGGAGGAAAAGGAAGAAACCGTGGGGAAGGGACACGCGTGGTAGGGAAAGACATTTTATTTCCAAGCTTTTAAGAGAATATTACAAATAACAGAGAGTTTTAAAAAACCCTAAAAACTAGTTTAAAAAAGTACTCGACACTGTCCTTTTAATACCCAAGGATGGCGCGTCCATTGTGCCACGACGGTAAGAAACTGTGGGTGATCACCCAGCGGCCTTCCCTGGCAGGTCCCGGAACACACGGGCGGCTCCTGAGATAGTGCTCCCCACGGGCTCCTTGGAGTGCTCGGTCGCACAGGGAGGACCAAGGTGCGCACCGCACTGAGCACAAGGCGAGCAGAGCTGCCTCTTCAGGGAGGGTGCCGGTGCCAGGACGCCAGGAATACTTAGATCGGTGTTCACTCCTTTCTTGAGATACACAGGCCAGCGTCATCCCACACTGCAGCAGACCCAGGTGGGAGGCTCTGGATGTGTGCGTGCGTGTATGCATGTGTGCATGCGTGTGCGTGTGTGTGCATGCGTGCATGTGTGCGTGTGTGTGCCTACCCTTTCGAATGCCAAGGCCAAAAGGACATGGCACTACATTATCCCGGGTGTGGGTGGGGCTCAGCAGTAGGGCGAATTATCCCTGGCCTGGCATTTGAAGGTTAAAGCCGCAGCAGCAGCTGTGTGCTTGAGATACTCATGAGAAATCCATACTTCCCTCTACACACACACACACACACACACACACACGCACGCACGCACGCACGCACGCACACGCACACGCACACAGGTATGTGTGTAAGGAGTCCCCCATCCTGTAAACATCTTTGAGCCCAATCACCATAAAATAAACAAGGGAACAGAAAGATGCCCATCCCCAAACCTCAGCCTTCTTTGAGCTCATGTGATACTCGCCGTTACAGCTAGGAAAGTTCTCTCTGGGGTGACACAGCCCCATCTCTCGCCAGGCATATCTGCAGCTCCCTTCCTGAACGGTCTCCCGGGGGTCCGTGAAGCCATCTGAGTCACTGGAACTTTGCAGAGTGCAGGCTCCCCCCCACCATCCCCGACAAGCATGGTAGGGGTACCAGCTCACAAGGTCCCACTCTGTCCCTGGGGCACCCAGGGCTGGGAAGCAGCACCCAAAGAGGAGCAAACCCCAGACTGGGAGAGAGGTGCGGATTACAAAAGCTGGTCCACGGGTGGCCTTGGCTTGTTCTCTTTGCTGCCCTCACAACCCACAGGGGCAGCAGGTACCTCGGGTACCGGCTGCCATTTTCTGCCCAGCCCTTTCTGGGTGCCTTGCTACTTGTCATTCTGCAGGGAGGAGTGTTTTCTGAGAGCGGGTTCCATTTGTCCCACCCTCCGTTGTGCAGTCTGTGAAACCCAACAGACTGGAAATCACAGGATCTCTCCAGCAGGCAGCCTCCCCACGGCTCCCCTCTGCTCCAGGCTCCCTCGAGGCCCCCCACCCACGGCCGGATTTCTGCCTCCCATGCCTGCTTCCTGGGCCCCTCCTGGCCCAGCCGCTTTCCTGGGGGCGGGGTGTGTGTGTGGTCTCAGCCTTCCTCCCCGGCCTCCTTTCACACCGTGGTGACTCTCATGACGAGTTCTCGGCTGCCGCCCTGCGTGCTCCGCTGTTCGTGAGGTCTCAAGTGACTCAGGATGTGCAGAATGGTGTAAGCACAGTGGTGTTGGGACCCAGGGCCTGAGGGGTGGCTGGCAGCCCTGGTGGGGCCCTCTTCACGGGCAGGAGGGCTGGCTGCTGCCTCCTCTTCCGTGGAGGGGATATTGGCTTGGGTTGATGAGGAAGTCCGCGGGTTTGTCCTGCCTCCTGATTTTTGATCCTCTAAGTCTTTTGTCTTGTCATAGTTCAGCACTTTCCACTGCTGGTTGACGGCCTGCCATCGTTTAAAGATGCGGTATACGGAGGGTCCTTCGTGGATGATGAGACCTGGCAGGAAGAGAAGAAAACAAAGGCTCAGCAAAGAAGGCTCTGAGCCACTTGACGCCAGAGCACCTCTAGGTTTCCCGGGCTCCGTGAGTCACCAGAAGGAAGAAGGATCATGAAATCGTGGAGATCTGCATGAAACGCCTTTGTCTACTTCTGCTCCATCCTGCCCCCTTCCTGGTTTGACACAATTCAAAGTCTCCAATTAAGTCATAATGTAAATATTTTTTTCCTCCCCGTATTACATATTCATGACGCCCTGTGCTTAGCAGGTGTCGAATGAATCGTGCACCTTTAAAAGGCAACATCAATGGGATCCTGTGGTCATTCCAATCCTGCTGAATGACAGACATCTGACACTCCTTTCCTTAGCTCTTTGCATAGCCTCTGCTACTGAAATACAAATCCCTCTGGCAGAGTGAACGTTCTTGCAGTTATACTGGGCAAATAAAGTGGGAGCCAGTGGAGACAGGCCACATCTAGCAAACCAGACACAAACAAGCCACATTACAAACAAGGCGACAAGGCAAATGGATAGCAATTGAAGGCCTACTGTGTGCAAAGCACTTGGGATCCTGAAGTGCCCGAGACAGGAAGTCTTGCTGTTGGAGAACTTAGATTTAAGTGAGGAGGCACGTATGAGACATGCAAATAAACCAACTAGGACCCTTTTTCTGTGCGGGCACATGCTGGGAGGAAGATGAAACAGGGTTAAACAGCCCTTGGCTGTAGGCATTTGGGGTCTTGTTTTAGCAAGAGGGAAGAGAAAGGCCATGGGGTTGAGGTCGGCATGGCTAACACAGCACAAACATTTGGGTGGGGAGAGGGGAGGAGGAGGTGGGCAGCTATGATCATGTCTTACATTTCTCCAGTATAGTGGGGATCCCCTGAAGAGATTTAGAAGAGAGAATGACATGGACAGATCTGCTCTTAAGAAAATTCACTGGTGCCCCAAAAGGGGCAAGAATAGAAATCTCCAATGAAGCAGGAAATGACAGAGCATTGAAAGTGAGAACCGGTGACCGGTGTTGGGGACACATGGAGTGATGAGACGTCTTTAGAAGCAGGATGTGTGTCGCAGGTAGAGCTGACAGACTTGCAGAGAGATGGGCTGTGAGCACAGAGAAGCCTCTGAACAACTGTGAAGATTCTGGCTGCCATAGTTGGGTGATGAGGGCGCCATTTGCTGACGCCCCAGGTCCCAGGGCTGGCATGTGGATCTGTATGGTGGTAGTGACTATTAGTTCACTATGGCTGCCACAGTCAATGTCCAGAAGCTCACAGGAGCAACGTGGACTAGTCACCCTCACCTCCTCACTACGGCACAAGTCCTGGATGGGAACACCTCACAGCGTTTCCGCTTCAGCTCAGACTCTGGGAAAAAAAAGAAGAACCACCCCCTGCCGCTCCTCCCAGCATCCAACAACTCCTGCAATTGCATTTCTCTCTACGCATCTGCAAGAGCTCACCGAGAGAGACACACTGGTTCCGAGCCCTGGGTGAACCCAGACAACAGTTTTAGAGGGAGTATAATTTCCTAAAGACGCCCCTGTGGACCCCTGACCCAGTGCGATGGGTGCTGGACAAAGAGGCCTCCCCTCTGTTGCCAAGGGTGCCAACGCCCATTACTTCTGTGTACCCTTAAATGTGTACCTGTGCACCATCGGTACGGAAGCCAGTCGTTCATCTGTTTGTCCCACGTGCCTTGTTCGCGTGCGGCCTTGTGCCGTTGTCCAGGCTACAGGCTCGGGCTGAGTCTCCATAGCCAATGCAGCACCAGGGACATCACAGGGACTCACTAAGGAGGAGCCTGGGCCCGGGTACAGAGAACCGGGGGCTTTTAAGGCCCCAGACAAAATTTCTGGCTGGAATCTCTACACTCCATCCTTAATTAGCCTCTCGATCAGACAATTTTCCTCTGATTGAAGAGGGTGCCTTAAGTTTTTGGTTTGAATCCTGCCTTTTAATTGCCGGTCTAGTGTTCAGGCAGTAATTAAACCATTTTAATGGATAAGTGGGTGAGCGGGGAGGAGTGCACCTGTTTTTCTAGATAACACTTATTTGGGAAAAGTTGGAAAAACATAAACTACCTCATTTCCATTCACTCCTCTTAGCAACAACCACCACCACCCCCCTCCACCCACTCCTGCTTCGCCGAAATAATGATTGATTCCTTGCATGGAGGACGTTTTTAAAAACAAGGAAGATGATGAGGGCTAGGAGGGCAGCCACCAAGAAGCCTGAGAGTCAGAAGAGAGCAGTGGACTGAGAAGGAGGTGGAATTCAGGCAGGCGAGCAAAGGGCTGTGGGTGACGAGTTTGAGATAGAGGAGAAAGAAAGGGCGGGGATGCAGCTCTACTTGCCAGGCCTTTGTCCGCCCCGGGTTTAATCCCCAGTCCTGACTGCATGAACCACCGTGGCGGGGCAAGCCTGCAATCCTAGCACGTGACAGGTAGAGGCGGGAGGTTGGGGAGCTTAAGGACATCGCTGATCACAGAGAGAGAGTTTGGAACCAGCATGCGCTTCATGCGACCCTGACTCAAAAACAAACAAGAAAAGAAGAAGGGAGGGAGGGAGGGGAGGGAGGGAGGGAGGGAGAGGGAGGGAGGGAGGAAGGGAGGAAGGGAGGGAGGCAAGAAATGTGAATTGTAACTGAGTCCTTCCCTGGGATTTTCTATGCACTTCAACAGCTACATTAACTGTACATTACTTGCAATGTACCCAGATCTTGACTGTATTTGTGGTATTTCGGAAGAATAGACATTTCGCCTCTCTAAAGTGTCTCCAACTTTTGGGCTCCTCCTCCTCCTCACAGGGTTATAGGTTCTATAGGTTGTTAGACACTTCTTTCATCGTCTCTCTCCCCTTCTGCTTCGCTTCAGCCGAAATGGCCTTTCACTTAGACTCTGAGGAATGGGGAGAAGGCTGGTCACCACCACGAGTGGGCAGTCCTGCTTGCCTAGCTCCTCCATACCCTATAACCATAGCAACAACAAGGAGTTCTCTAAAAAGCATCCCGGCCTTTCCTTAGTGCGTTCTGACCATTGGATTTTTCCTGTGAGCGGAGAGACACAACTTGACCCAATGTTGTCTTTTCTGAGTGCCCACTCTGCATGTCTCTGAGCCCCTGCCATTGGGGGGGGGCGGGTGGGGTTGGGGCACAACCCCGCTTCCCACCATGTGTGCAATAACAGGTCAAGCCAAGTTGATGAGTAAGTCTACGGGGAAGCCTCTACCCCCCCTCAGTGACCCAGAATTCACCTTCAGACCCTCCTCTCTTGCCAGTGTTCCGGCTAAGTGACTTAAAAGTTGTTGACAACTCTGAAACACTGCTTTTCAAACTTGGGTGTGTATCAGAATCTTCAGAGAGCATAGTAACTCACAGATTCCTGGCTCTATCCCCAGAAAGCCTGACTCAGTAGGTCTGGGGCCAGGCCTGAGAATCTGCATCTCAAAGAAGCCTCAGGTGACTCTGGAGATGGCCATAGTGGGCTACACTGAGCAAGACTGCCTAGACAGAATGCTTGTCCCTGCCTAGACACAGCGCTTGTCCTTGCCCGCTACTGCACAGAAAACACTACATTTTATTTTTCCTCTTTTCTTTTCTTTTTCCCCAGACAGGGTCTCTCTGTGTATCCCTGGCTGTCCTAGAACTTGCTCTATAGACCAGGCTGACCTTGAACTTAGAGATCCTCCTGTCTTTGCTTCCTGAGTGCTGGTCTTAAAGGCATGCGTGACCACCTCCTGGCTGGAGTTTTATTTTTAAAAAAAAAAAAAGAGAAGGAAGGGGAGGAAGAGACTTAGACAGTAAAGTAAAGACAGTGCAAGCCTGGAGAACTGAGTCTGGATCCTCAACATCCATGTAAAAGATATGTGGTAGATGCCCATAATCTGAGCTCTGTGGGATATATATATATATGTATGTATATATACATATATATACATACATATAGATACACACACACACACACATATATATATATACTAGACACACACACACACACACACACACACACACACACACACACACACACATATATATATATATATTCTAGACACACACATACACTAGGCACAGAAGGATCCCTAGGGTTTACTGACCATACAGTATAATTGAAGTGCAAGGTCCAGATTCAGTGAAAGAGCTTGTCTCAAAAAACAAGGTCGAAAAGCAATTGAAGAAGACACTTGACATTCACTTCTGGCTTCTACATGTATGAGTACACACATGCATGCCCATCTGCCAATGATCCAGCACACATGCATGTGTGTACCTGTGTGTGTGTGCATACATACACACACACACACACACACACACACACACACACTACATGTAAATTTGAAAAAAAATGCTCTCTCCAGATGTGACAGATGTTAAAACATAGGGCAATGGTAGAAATGGCCACTTCCTAGACCCAATGACCCTTGGTCCCCATAATTTAGAGTCAATTCACCTGCTAGCAAGCATATATAGAGTAGTAGTACGTCTGCCACTTGTAAGCCTTGTGGCTTCAGCAAGGAACTTGCTCATTGCAGGCCTCAGTTTCTCATCAGCAAGTTGGAACTGGTGTTCCCTTCCTCGAGTCTTTATGAGACCGGATGAAGTGAGGAATCCTGAGTGCTGACTTGGCTGGCATGACCGTCAAGGCTACATGAAAGAGGTCATTGGAGGAAGACCACAGGACACTCGTCTGTCTTCTTTCTCCTTCACTGCCAATCTGTCCCCATGTGGAATGCCTCCCCTCCGTTGTCAGGAGGAGCCATCGTGTATGGAGAATAATAACACAGAGGTGTGAAAGGTGCTCTGGACACCGACCGGTTCTACAGGTGTGGAGTCAGCTCTCCCTTTGGGGCCTCCCTTCCCACCATCAGTGCCGCCCCTTCCCTCGAAGGCTTCCTATATTATGTTTTCATTACTGGGACCAAATACCAGGCAAGAAGCAGTTTAAGAGAGGAAGGGGCTATGGCACACTGCATCCAAAGGAGTAAGTGGATGCAGCCGA